TACCAGATTGCAATATTTTCCTTTTACACTTTCAGTCCCTTCTTTCTTTACCCTAATAATAGATCTAGAAGGGAAAAGAATGAAATGGCTGATAAAATATAGGGAATAAAGCTGATAATATGAATGATACCTGTTAAATGTGAGAGTTCAGAGGACTTAGTCAAATTTACAAGTTCTTTTTCATTCAGTAGTGCATTAAGATGAATAAAAACAGAAATACAACTCTGGAAAACCACTTGGATTTTAATAATAAACGCTATCTTTCCAAAATTTGTGCAGAAGAAGTTTTTTAAAAAATTAGATTAATGATATATGAGAATATTGGAATATTACATTTAATATTTTTGATCTTGTGTTTTACAGCTCAACATGAACTCTGCTCCTACATTCATGCATTTTCCTCCAAAAGGCAGACCCAAGAGAGCTGATACGTTTGACCTTCAAAGAATTGGATTTGCAGCTGAACAACTTGCGAAGTGGATTGCTGACAGAACAGATGTTCATGTATGTTTTTATTATTTCCCACAGTTTTAATAATAGGCTGATTAGTTTTTAATAATAGGCTGATTGGTTAGAGTATTATAATAAGGCCAGAATAATTTTTTTTATTTATCTATGGATAATCTCTCCTTGTATAAAGAGATCTGTGTTTGATAGCCATAAGCTGACTGTTAGGTGAATTCACATGGTTTTTAGAATAATGGTTCATTAGTACTTTAAAAACCATTGAAAAGTATAGAAGTTAGGCACAAAGTAATTTCAGAGGCTAAAAAATATATTGAAAATGGTTCAGTGTTATTAGTAATCAAAGAAATTCTAATTAAAAAGTAAGATGTATAGTTTTTATTTATCTTTTGGGTAAATTAAAAAGGATAATACCCACTTTAAAACCATGTGGAAAAATACCTACTCACATTTACTGCTTTGGGTACTATAAAGTGGTATAACCATTCTAACAGAATGTGTTATATCTTTATTTTATGTAATTTAACTTAACAATTCCACTTCTAGGAATTTAACCTAAGGATGTAATCAGGGATGATTTAAATTTTTAGCCATAGAAATTTATTTTAATGGAAAAAATTGGAAAGAAATCCAATGTCTAGAAAGTAAGAGACTAAATAAATGTACTATGGCATAGCCAAAAAATGATTTGCAAGAATATTTTGCAGAGAATGAAGCTGAAAGTATAACAAGGGAAAAAGTAGGTTAGAAAAATAATATTTATAGTATGATCTAGAATTTTGTTTTGAAACATAAACATGAGTATAAATATAGTTTATTCTGGAAGGAAATGAACCAAAATGTTGATGATAGTTAATACTTATTTGGCAGTCTTATGGCTATTTTCCCCCTAATCTTACCAATGTTTTCTTTTCTTTTTTTAATAGATATACCACAGTTTATTTATCCATTCATCAGTTGGTGGACATTTAGATTTTTTTCTACAGTCTTTTATTTTTCATCAGTGTGCTAAGGATCTCTGTAATCTTTCCCACAAAATTGATCTCACATCAGCCTTGAAGGAAGAGACCATGTAACACCTGCAGTCCTCCTTTTTCTTGTACAGGAAAGTTTAGATTTTTCCTCTGGAGGTTCAATATTAGGAGTCTGTTGAAATGAACAGATGATAGGTTAACAGGAGAAAAGGCTTACAAATTAATGTGCACATGTGCATGAGAGCCACACAAAATACGAGACTCAAAGAAGGGCCAGATGGTTGAAGTTTAAATACCCTCTTCATAAGGGAGAAGGAAATGGAGGAATGTAGGCAATTTTAGAGGAAAAGTAAATGATATTTAGGGAAATTGAATGGGCCCTAAGAGCAGACAATAGTCAGGGACAAAGTTTCTCTGGGTTCTGGGGGAGGTGGCAACAAGTCACGAAAGGTGAGGGGCAGAACTGCACTGCAAACAAAGGTACTCTGATTAGTTGGGTAAAATCTCTCAGGTAAAAAAAAAAAAAGTTGTTTTGGAGCAGCCTTCAGGAAGAATAGGCAATAGCCTGTTTGGGTGTGGTGACTTTTAAAAGGTGGAAACAACTAAAATATCCATCAACTAATGAATGGATAAAAAAAATGTGGTATATCCATACAAGGGGATACTATTCAGCCATAAAAAGGAATGAATTACTGATACATGCTACAACATGGATAAACCTTGAAAACATTGTGCAAAGTAAAAAAAGCCAATTATAAAGGACCACACATTCTATATGAAAGTCCAGAATAGAAACATCTATTAGAGAAAGTAGATTTGTAGTTATTGTACTTAGGGCTGGAGGTTGGGGGATTAAATGGGTGATTGAGATGATTAAAATGTCTAATGACTGTGGTCATTGTTGCACATATCTGTGGTGAATATACTAAAAACCATTGAATTGTACACTTTGAATAGGTAAATTATATGGTATGCAGATCACATTTCAACAAAACTGTCAAAAAATAGCAGTATAAAAAGTTCCAATTTCAAATGATACAAATATTACACCCTCATCGTACCCCAACCATTTACTAGATGATCCCATTTTCCATGGGGTGGAACCAGAGCAACTCTGGGTTGAGTTATTTAAATAAGGTTTACATATGGTTGAGTATATTCACCTAAAATGAGGAGGAAGTCACTTTACATGGCCATGATTTTTTTGTTTTAAAGAAAGAATGCTTACATTTGTCTTTTATTGCTGAATTTCTCTGTTTGGCCTACTAGGGCCCAGTGGACGAAGAAACATGTTCTAACAACATATTCTTTTTTTAATTTTTAAAAAATTATTTTTGTGTGTGTGTGTTTTTGTTATTTGTTTTGTTTTGAGATAGGGTTTTGCTCTGTTGCCCAGGCTGGAGTGCAGTGGTACGATCACAACTTACTGCAACCTCCAATACCTGGGCTCAAGCGATCCTCCTACCTCAGCTTCCTGAGGATCTGGGACTCCAGGCACATGCCACCATGCTTGTCTAATTTTTTCTTTTAATTTTTTGTAGAGATAGGGTCTTACTAGGATGCTCAGACTGGTCTTGAATTCCTGGCCTCAAATGATCCTATTGCCTTAACCTCTCAAAGCATTGGGATTACAGGCATGAACCACTGTGGTTGGCCCAATTTTTAAATTTCTATGTGTTTAGGGGGTACATATGCAGATTTGTTACATGGATATATCACGTAGTGGTGAAGTCTTAGCGTTTTGTGTAATACTTACCTGACTAATATGCGTAGTATGTAGGTAATTTCTCAGCCATGATTTTTTAAGGCATATATGTTTTGACTTACAAAGAGAGTAAAAGTAGTGTTAGTGCCAGTTATAAAAAGTAGGGTAGAATGTTTCTGAATTCTTTTTTTTGAAAATTGGAAGGACTAGAATTTGGTCAAGAGAAAAATTTGGTATTACTCTTTCACTTTAAAAATTTTCATTGGATTTTTTCAGATTCGAGTTTTCAGACCACCCAACTACTCTGGCACCATTGCTTTGGCCCTGCTAGTGTCGCTTGTTGGTGGTTTGCTGTATTTAAGAAGGAACAACTTGGAGTTCATCTATAACAAGACCGGTTGGGCCATGGTGTCTCTGGTATGTTATCGCATTGACTAATAGATAAGACATAAACTCTGCCTGTAAGGAATGCATTGTGGGGATGTAGAAACTGATCACAGACAAAATAGTGTAACATTATACATGCTGTGATGGAGGAAAGCATGGAGTACTGTAGGAATACATAGAAAAGACACCTAACCTAGAGTAAAGGGAATCATGACAGCCTCCCCAGAGTGTGACATGAGCTGAGTGTTGAAGAATAAATGAAATTCTAAAGCTTTTAAAGCCAAGTATTCAACAAACATGAAGCCTGGGATATCCAGAGAACTACAATTCTGTGTAGCTAGAGCAATGATGGCAAGGCAAGAGGGAGTAAGAGATGCTCCTGGAGAGGAAAGAATGGAACTCTCTTGTCTACGAGAGTATGGGTTTTCGTGCACTGGCAATAGAAGCTATTAAAATGTTCCAGAGATAGAGGGCTTGGTTTATAAATCACACCTTGTGTACCTCTGTGTCCCCAGCCTGGAGCACAGATCCTGGTAGGGGCTGAGCAGATACTCAGCCCAGCATTGTTTTATGGGCTCCCTCTCGCTAATCCTACGTGAAGACAGAGAGATAAATGAAAGGCTCACTTCCTTTTAAGGCTTAACACCCCACAGTCCTGGAGAGAAACGCATATAAGTGATGTATAGGAGGTATTCTCAGTCAGACTTATATTCCCTTTCACTGACCTGAAAGAAAGAAAGAAACAAACAATAAACAAACAACCAACGCATTCCAGAGATAAATAAATTTATGTTTTGGAGCAACCATTCTGGTAGCATGGACAGTTGATTGAAAGGGGTAAGTAAGGCAGCTGGAAGACTGGTTAAGATAGTATTAGGAGAATCTAGGTGAACATGTTCCTACTTCAGTTTGTACAAAAGTATTTTTCTTCTCTATGATTATGATCATGATAGATTTCTTTAAAATAAGTAGCTAATAAAATGAAAATGTAAACATTATATTAATAAAATGTATTCAGACAATAATATTGTCTGATATTTAATAGTTATAGTAATGAAAATACTGATGTTAAAATATAAATAGCATAAAATCTTAAGCTTCATAAGGACATGTTTTTGTTCCTTGCTTTATCCCTGGCTTCTAAATCAGTTTTTTAGCATATAGTAGGCTTTCAGCAATTAAATCTTGAATGAATAAATGAGAAAAACCTATTTTTTTCTTTACAATTCAGGGTACATGTCAGTTATTGAGGATTTCCAGCTGAGGAGAAGGACCATCTTTATCTTATTCGTTGTTGTTATATCCCTAGTGTCTAGTAAAATACCTGACATACAGTAGAGTACTCAGTAAGTAACTATCAGATGAATAAACTAAACTGAAAAGATTTCATGGATAACCATACGTAGGCCATGAGTAAACCTTGGGTAGGGTAGAGGGGTCGACTGGGTTGACACAGCATTAGCAAGATGTAGGTGGAGGTATTATCATCATGGATGTAGGGGGAAGCAACAAGAGTGGCCTGAATGAAGAATCCAGTTCCAATTAAGGAGCGATGGGACATGGTGCTATTTAGGAGTATAGGAGCACATTGTGGAGGGCTTTGGAATAACAAATAATATTTATTGAGCTTACATCATGTATCGTGCAGTTTTAAGTGCACTACATGGACTAACTTACCATGAATAAGTAATCCCCACAGTTTAAGAAGATTGATACCAATATTGTCCTAATGTTATAGGCAGGAAACTAAGGCCCAGAGCAATGAACTTGCCAAAGGTTGCACAGATGCTGAAGACAGGCCTGAAACTCAAGTATCGTACTTTAAGAACCTTTATTCTCAACTACTGTGATAAACCACCGGGTAAAGTACTGTCAACATGCCAGTGGTCTTAGAAATATTAAAGGTTCTTAGGTGGATACTACTATTTTAAAAATATTTTAGTCTGTTAAGTATGTTAGTATCCCAAATGAAGATGCCCCCCTAAAGAAAGAAAAAGACATTTCCTCGATTTCAAAATACACTTTGCCTAAAACACTGCATTAAATCTATAGCATAAATAATAAACTTGAATGTACTGTCTAAATTCACTGAAATGATATTCCTGTGAATTAAAGAATTTATTTTTCTCACATAACAATTTCAAATTCGTAAATGGTTTTTTTA